ATGTACGATGACAAGCCAAAAAATATACTAAAAGCATACATACTGCTGAGTGGCACGCATATAAACGCTCCGCGTACTTGTATGTATGTGAACCGATTGTGTTTTCTTACATTTTAAGCGTTTTTATGGAGTTCGAACGCAACCGGCCGGTGTTTTTTGTGCAAGTCATAAAAGTGCTGCTGCGGACAGTTGGCAACGCCACACCATTCAGGTTGTTTACTTTTATGATAGGCACTAACACGCATTTATCAGACGCTGTTGTGTGCGAACATATGCAACATGTCCATTTCATCTTATGTGTCACGTAAGCAACGCGGTGCGCTCGCCCATTTGAGTGCGTTTACAAGTTGTTAGCAAACACTTGAGCAAAGGTGTTAAGTTCTTAATAAAAATGTGCACAGTTATTGCGGCGACTGCGCTGCTGCTACAATAAATTGGTTCGTAATATTGCAGCTGTTGTTGTTGCTTAACTCCTACTCATCTTTAGCGCACGCTGCAACGCTGCGCGTATTTATCAGTCACTCACTCTCGTTGTTCTTATTTTCATTTCATTTCTTTATTGCTGTTGTTGCGCGTTGTCTTAATGTTTTTATAGATACAACCGAATAAGTGTTGTTGTACAATACACTTGATTTCATAATTACCCTTTTGTGTGTGAAACACTTCAGCATTCACACCATCGACGGGTGATTATGATGCCAAAAAGTTGAAGGTGAGCATGTGCTAAAGTGCTTTCCAATCGACAACTCATTTCTTTATGCGTCTGACTAAAATGCACGTTGTTTTATTATTTATTTGTGTGTGCCCCTCATTTCGCATTGCCCTTTAGTAGGTGTGAATTGCACATAAGTGCAATGTTTTACTCAACGCTCTGGGGGTGCAATCAAAGGGAAGCTGGTGTTCGGTAAACAGGTGAATCGAATTTCACACCTATACGCTAATTGTTAGTAATAATATGTGAAATTAGCAATTTGAGATGTTCATGTCGAGAGGTGTCTGTGTTGAGTTAGAACTATAAAGTCGGCTGGTGAAAATGTTGTAAATCAAATTGGCGATATGATACAATTTATGAAAACAGGATATTTAATTGATGACAAAGCGCTTAAAGTTTAATGAATTAATGTGATTTTTTTGATGTTGCTTTATAAGTTATGAAAACGTATGAAATGTTAAAACTCATACGTTGGCCGAAAGATACGAATGAAGAAAGTTTTTCAAAGTTTTTATACACAACAAAGTTTCAAAGTGAAATTTGCCTCCCATGAGTGTAGTTATGTTCAATTTCCCCACTAAATAATATACATTTATTTGAAACGCTTCCAGTTCTTGTGAATAATAGCTTTTATCTGAAAGCTTTTTAAAGTTAGTGTGCATGACAATATTAACCAGTGAAAGCTCTTATTCTTAGAATAAGAATTTTTGTAAGCCAAATTGTGTGAGCAAGCTTTTTAACAAGAGAAAGCTTTTTTTTACAAATGAAAGCTTCTTTTTACAAGTGAAAGCTACTTTTGAGCAAGTGAAAGCTAATTTTGAAAAAGCGAAGCTCCTTTTAAGAAATAAAGCTCACTTTAAGGAAGCGAAAGCTTCTTTTAAGGAAGTGAAAGCTACTTATGTAAGCAAGCTTAAACTAAACATTTTACATTTCAAAATTTTTATGTGAAAACATCAGAGAATAAGACCCGCAAGTGAAATTTATTTTTAAATTCGAATTATACGTTAACAATTGCCTAAATTGTGTAACATTTATCAACTATTGACTTCAAAATATTTCCTTGTCATTTCATTATCTATAACTTAGTAGTTTATGCATTTAATTTACCCTAAGCATTACATACATATTTGGGCGCCTACTTTAATACCATTAAAAGGTGATTTCCCTCTCTTGTCCATTGCGTCAGGTCAGTAATTAACACTACAATTGCTACTATCAACAATTGCTCAACAGCTGAGTGACTCACTCACTCACTCTACACATTAATTAGTAATCCACAACAGCTTATGACGGATACAAATTGTATATTTGATAAGCAAAAGTTGGAAAACTACACTCTCATGCGTGCGTCGAGGGTCGCTCGACTTCGGCTTGTGAATGGCAACTATATATTGGTTTACTATATATATAAATATTTTTACTTTTTATTGATCAACTACAAACAGACGGTTGATCAGTTTTGCAAAAGCAAATGACCGGCAGACAATGCGACAAGTGACGCGGGTATTTATGTTGCTGTCAAAAAGATGACATATTACAATATGACAACTTGTCACAAAAACTGACAGGCGTGCAATGTCGCGATGTATAGATTTGTAGTAGCAGGCTCATTGTGTGTTATAGTGCTGAGAATGCAGCCGGTGCTTGATTGAAGCATGCAGGCAATACAAATTAACACTTAATAGTGAGTGGCTACAAGCGAGATAGAGTTAGCGTAAGAGAGCGCTTTAAAGTGGCACTACTGAATAGTCGAAACAACACTTGATTAATAAAAGGCATGCAATGCAAATATGTAGAACAGCAAGGAAATGTGCATATATTTCTTGAATACGCATATATGTGTGCGCAGCTGATTGATATTTGCAATTGCAGCGGCAAAAAGTAGTCATATTTTGCATGATTGACTAGATGCTGGCCACGGACAGCGTTGCCTACTGCATGCAAATGCTTAATCGCATATTTACATATAATATGCGGCAACGTTCGTTAGCCTTATTGCATTCATTCATAAATTCATAAATGTTGCAAATTGCGAGTTATTACACGCGACGCAACAGGAAGATATAACAGGCGCATATGAAAACCGTTTTTTATTTTTTTATGTTTATTTTTTGTGGCGCAGAATGTGCAAATATTTGCGCCTATTAAATAAAAGCAGCTATTTACCAGGCTTGCCACACAATAAAGGAAGCTACAGAAAAAGCAGCTCATTTGAATCGAACGAACGGTCAACCGAATTACCCGGCAATATTGTGTTGTCATGAATGAAGGCATTTAAATGAGAAAACGCTGCACAGTGTTGCGCGCCGGAAAGTGCAGTGGCGCAACCATATATGGAGCTTGTGAGAAAGGAAAAAGCACAAGCAGACTCCCGGTACTTGCTGGTAGCGCGTGCACCCATTAAATGTAGGCAACAGGCGAGGAGCACATACATACATATATATGTATACATGTAAATGTTTGTATATGTATATGTATATATGTAAATGTCTGTATGTATTTAAGCACGCATATGCGCCGCTAAGCCGCTAAGTCTGCTACGCAATGTGGCAGTGCATGTGCGCGGTGGCAACATAACGCATACACGCAATGCAATGCGCATGCAAGCCACATGCGCAACGGCTGGTTTCCATAGTTTGTTGCTAAGCTACCGTTGAGGCTGGCCGGTTGCATGGCTGGTGTGTGTGTGTCCCCATTTTATGACCGCCAAAGTGTGCTTCGTGTCGCTCGCTCCATACGTGTGTGTATCGTGTTGGCTGTTGGGGTACGCTGTGCGTTCATGTATGCTTGAGCAGGCTTGTCGTGTTAGTGCTCAGCTTTTGCGATAACGTCAACAATGCGGAATGTTGCAAGCCATGCTGCACAGATAGTGCGCACTACTTGCTGCTGCTTGGCTGTTGGTCATGGCCATAAGGATTAAGCTGGCAGTTAAGAGCCATGGTCACTATCTGCACAAACTGAAATTCACATGCAGCTTGTAGCAGCAGCAGCCTCGCGTATGCGAAAGAAGTTTACAGCTTTAATGAGTGGTTAGTTATTTTTATGGTAGTCGCTAAACGGAAATCAGTTCTGTGCCGCAAGCAAGTGAGCAGCACAAAAAAGAAGTCAGAAATCAACTAAGAACACAAATGGATTGGTAAACGGTAAACTAATCGCTGCATAACTGAATGCAAAATGCTAATATCTCTTGCGCTACGCACTCAAGTATGGTCGTATGTCGCTGGATAGGCGCGCACTGGGCCGCGCAAAGCAGCCATGTGGTAAATATATATTCTTTATATATATTTGCCTTTGTTATTTTTTACTTATTATATACGTACACGCAATGTGCAAATTAAAGTATTGTAATTGTGCGCATTTACACCTGAGGCAACAGATGCAATAAACTTGCCCGCCATTGCAAGCTTGTTCTACAGTGCATCTAGGCGCGAAATGTCAGAAAAAAGTGGAGCAAAGTGCGTCAAAATTGCACACAGCGTATTCTTTAATAACTTCCTTATAACATTTTTATTTTTATTTTTTTACCATTCCTCAACTAATCACCACTCATTGCAACTTTTTCTCACTCTTGTTTTGAAAACACCTTCTCCGGCACAGCTGGTCACTCTAAAATCAACAAATTAACACTTGCCGCTGTCGAGACTCAACGCATTCACATGCTTCCTCTCTAAGCCCACACATAAAAAATAAATGCTAACACAACAACAACAATGCAACTAACTGCTCAACTAAGCAACTAACCCCTAATAAATTTGGCTTTTAATCAGCGCCAAGTAGGACACGCTCAAGCGTACAATTTCACGAACCCCTAATTTAACAATTTACACTCGAACAACGCCCTCAAGACGGAAGAAGAAGTAAAAAAAAAACCAAAAAAAATGTGTACCACGCATGCTCTAAAAATATGAAGGTGAGTGAAATGAGAGATTTGCCAATTTTTTGGTTGCGCTTTCGCATTTCTTTAGCTGTGTGCCGGTACATCAAAGTGGCGACAAGATGAACAAAAAAGGCAAAATAGAATAAAAAAATAAGTAAAAAAAAACAATTTTTTTTATGCCGTAAAAGCACTTGGTCTGTAGTCATGAAGCAATATTAGTTGTGGCAGAAGCAAGTAGCAAAGGGAGTAAAGAGTGAAATTGCAATATTGCCTTTGCGTATCAAAACACGCTTGATTAAAATAATTCGGAAGCATAAACAAGTTTAGAACTTATATTGTTTTGACTTTGAACTAAACAATTTTCAAGAAAATTCTACGAGAAAAAAAATAATAAGAAATAACGGTACTTACTCATAGATCGCATCCTTATCACGTTTATGTACTTCGGGTATTGCGCCCATTAAGTGATTAGCAACCGGTGATACATGACTAGGTGTACCATGACCACCAGCGCCAGTGTGGTAGCCATGCATGCCAACTGTTGCCGCCGCCGCAGCAGCATGTGTCATGTGCGGTGAATGATGCGTGGGGAGGCCTTGTAATCCGGGCGGTCGATGTCCGACATGTGGATCGTACATGGCAGCTGCTGCAGCACCCGAGTCCATACCATAGCCATGCAGGCCATCATCATACTGTGTGAGTGAAAAGAGAACAGGAGAAGTTGTGGATTAGAAACTTATAGAAATATATTTTTTTTTTTGTAATTAATAAAGCAAAATAAAAAAAATATACAAATAAAATTAAAATTACTTATAAATTATAAATAATTAATTGATATTTCCAAATAATTAACACGTGCAGTTGCTTTCGTGGCATGTATGGAGTCAATCACTGCGCGCATTATTTGACACTTTTTGTTTACATTTTTTAATTAAAATATAAATTATTTTTTCCTAATTTCTGCTGTTAGGTTATTAACATTGCAGCAATTAGTGTCGAAAAAGTCTCAAAAGTAATTATTTCATGAATTTTCTTAATTTGGTATACAAAATATAATTATTGTTGTTATATTTACAATATTTTTGTTGTTATTTTACTTACAGCACATTTTGGCTGCGTCATTGTTAGCGTTAAAATTGCTGTTAATTAAAATTAATTGCAAAATAATCTCAGCAATTTTAATTGGCAGTCAGCTATAAGCCAAAGTCATGAGTATAACGTGCAATAAGTTTTTGTAACATCTCAAAGTCGAACTCGAGCGCGGATGCGACGAACTGCAAGCGTACATATACAGCTTGTATACATACATATATATTCATTTCAAAAAATAACGCCAAACGATTTGCTGTGCCGTATTCGCGAATATATGTTGCAGTGATTTACGCTGGAGGGGAAGGGGCGTGGTAGTGCGCACGGATGACAACAAGTTGTCAGCTATAATTTAATTTTTTTCCAATGCATGCAAAATTAGATGTTTTGATGAATTACAGGTTTCAAATGTGAAATGGCATTCGTGGAGTTTATAATTAAGACGCTTTTTTTATACAAATCTGAACCGGCTCAAAATAATAGATATATATTTCTTTCATTTTTTATGTCTGTATGTTTACATATATACATATGTATATGTTTTATTTAATTTTATCTGTTGCCATAAAATAGTTTGATAAATATTTTATGGCACATTTAATAGCTCAATAATGTCAAGCGCAGAGTCTCATTAACACCAACAACGCTTATACATATATATTTTCAAATGCATCGTATATACGCGTGTACGATAGTAACTGTGCCGCGTTGACGCTATTAAATAGTCGTAAATCACTTGGACTTACGGCGTAACAAAAAAAAAAATGTGGCAAAAATCTTACTAGCTTACGCGACTGGCTGGCGGAATTACGCTCAAACGTGGTATACAAAGATTTTTTCAAATAAAAATGCTAAATGCGTGTTTACACAGTTATTTTTGTGTACAAATATTAACCAACATTAGGGTGCGCGCAAGAAATTTGGTATAAAATATGGTTTATTTTAAACAAAAATGCTAAAATCGGATTTATATAGGCGTTTTGAGAGCAAATATTTAATAACATTAGGGTGTGCGCAAAAATTTAAAATTTTTTAAATCGTAATTAAAGTAAAAAGAAATATTTTTTGAAGCGAAAACTGAGTAAAAAACAATTTTTCAAAATTATAATAAAATATTTATTAACCACCCTAACATGCGAAATTTCACTTTCATATTATAGCTGTGCTAAATGCAAAGCAACAGTTGACATAGAAACCGGCTGATCAAAATTCAAAAAAAAATCCAAACTTTTACGAAAACTTATTCCCACCATTATATTATATATAGACATAATTCCATACAGACATGCATATATATTGCTCTGTAAAAAATTAAGGTCCAAAAAATTTACTTTCGTTACGCGAGTGTATTGACATTGTTACAATCTGGTTGTTACTGTTTACTTTTATTGCGCTGCCGCTGACAACAACTTCGCCGCTTGACCTTGTAAATCTCGCTTCAAACAACAAAGTCAGCAATATTTTTACGCTTCTTTGTGAAACAATCACTTGAAAAACGCCAACACACGAGAGGAATAAAGATGAACTTGGCAAAACAATCAAAAATTGGCGGGGAAAAAACTAAAACAACAACAACACACAATACAACAACAAATACACTTGGCCAACGCACGCATTTTGCATACAAAATTGACGCCTTGAACGCAGCGCGCTGCTATAAAGTTACTGCTGTCGTCTTGTTGTTGTTTCGCATACAATGTATGACTCCAATGGAAATGTGACGCGCCACAAACACGAAAAATGAAATAATGAAATGATATCGCCTTTTCAAGATCTGTAGTGTTAAAACTTTTGTAAGACATTAAAAAATTTAACGCCACGCTCACCTGACGTGCCACATACACATAATAATAAATACAAATACACGGCAGCAAGCGCCTCAAATTTCATTATGTGATATTTACCGTACGCTCAGTTGGGTGGGTGGCTGTTGGAGGCTGGGTGTAGCGTGCGCACGGCGCGACGTTAAACAGTGCATTCAACAAGTTTTCCACTTGAAGCTACTTGCCTTTTTTACAAATTCTTGCCGTCTCTCTTCTCCTACTCTTTCTACCTTTTGCTGATTTTTGTCAAAATATAAGGCAAACGTTGGGGACACGCTGCCGCTAAACGAGGCTTGTGAAACGTCAAAGATTTTTATCACATTTCTCTTTGACACTCCACACACCAGCGCACATACACACACACATAAGTACGTGTAAGCTAACTGATTGCGGTGTATTTCACACTGCATATTTTATGCTCGCATTGTTGTTGCATGTTTGTATGTATTTTTTACTTAATTTTTTTTTTATTTTTTTATTTTTTTTGTTTGGGCAGTAACAACGTTTTAATAAGCGACAATTGAATGAGAGACGAAAATGTACTGTGGGAAGCGGCAAAGTGCGCGCGCTGCCCTGCGTCGCGCTTATCGGGGGCACAAAATCGTGCAGGAAGACAGGCAGTCAGGTTGACTGAAATGAGCAATTGACAGTTGGTGTAAATGTCAAGTTGAACAAGCCAGCCAGCAGGGGTGTGAACCGGCAATTTACTATTGTATTGCATGTGGTTTCTGTTGCTGTTGTTGTATAAGCATGCGTGCAGCGTGAGGATGCTGCGACAGCAGGAATCCGTTCGACGACACGAACGTGGCGAACAAGTGTATGGCATGATTATCAGCAGCTTTCTCATCAGGCTCATCAGCAACATCAACGACAACGACTGACAGAGCCATCAGCCATCAGGCAGCAGGCATCAGAAATCAGCCACCAGCCCAAAACACATAAAATGAGGTTAAATGATTGTGTTGTGCGTTCTGTTATCGAGGGAGGGCAAATGAGTTGATGTAGCCGCAGATAAGCGAAGACCGTGGAGACTAACTAGCTTTGTGCTGCTGTGTAAAGTGGCAATATAAGAAGAATTCAAGTGCTGGGAAGTTTTAGATATTTTTTAAGGATTGCAAAAAGTTCAATGGCAAGGAAAAATGTTGCAAATAAAGGCAGGGCATAGAGAAATATGTAATTAATTATAAAATACGTTTGAAAGTTTAATAAGTAAGCGTGAATAGTTTTTGTTTATAGTATTAAAATCAAAAAAATTTTAAAAATTTATTATTGTGCATAAAAAAATTTAATTAAACATTAAAACAAAAATTCAATCAAAGTTAATTAGAAATTATAATAAAGAATGTAGCTATTTCTTATTTAAAGTTTTAAGTTAAAAATACTTACTAATTTAGTAAAACAAGTAATTTAAAAATTATTTTTAATAAAAAATTAAAATAGCTTTCAAGAAAACATTAGTATAAAAAATAATTAAAATAATTTTTAATTAAAAAATGATAATTAAAAGTTATTCTTAATTAAATATTTTATACGTTTTAATTAGTGAGCGTTAGCGTTAGTAATTTGACATAAAGATTTTTAGTAAAAAAATTTCAAATAAAATTTCGCAAAAGAAATTAAAAAAAAAACAATCAGAAACAAAAAAGCTACCAAATCTGTGTATGTGCGAATAAAAATGATAGAAGACAATTCTCAAAACTAAACTAAATAAATCGCAGGAAATAATAGAGCGAAGACCCAGGCAGCCAGACAACACCTGCGCGCGCACACAGCAAAACGAGCGCGTTGGTGCACGCAAACCTTTATCAAAAGGAGCAAAAAACAAAAGCCACATTAAGCAAAGAGGCACAAAGACTTGCCACAAATGGCAAACACACACAAATTCACTCATACACACACATTCGCAAATGCTTGAGACAATTTTTACAAAACTAGTGTGCCTTTGCGCCTGCGCGCTAAAGCAGCGCAAAGACAAAGAAAAAATGGCACAAAAGCCGGGAAACAACAAATAGTCATATATATATTTTTAGTTTACTACACAATTTACTGCTATTGTTGTTGAAAAATCGGGTTTAAGAAATAAGCGCAAATGTCCTCCAATGTGCCACAAGTACACACAAAGGCACACCCACACATGTATATGATTTGCGCGTTAAACATTGTGGCAAGACATGCATGTGTGTGTGTGTGTATTACAGTTCGTCGCAGCAAATGTCAGTAGCCCGCAGGCCGTTCGCAGCAAACAACAAGCTCCGTCCAGTAGGCCAGCCAGCCAGCCAGCGAGCCAGCCAGCCAGCCAGTTGTGGCGCAGTCTTGTTGCAAATCCACATATTTTGCTTTGCCATTGCTCTTGTTGTTATTGTACTTTGTTTGCTGATTTTTGTGGGTTAAACTGTTTTTTGTTGATTTGTCGCTGCAATTCGTTGCAGTTGTTTTATTTGTTTTTGCTCTTCGATTGCATTTGTCATACTTGTAGGCGACGCTGGTGGTGACCGTTGCCAATGTTAAGTTGCTAGCAGTTAGCCTGTTGCAAGGCGCTCTTCTAGCCAACTAGTGTGGGACTGTTACAACCCGGTCGCGCCAGCTGTTTTACTTTGATTTCTTATTTCTTTTATTTTTGATATTTTGTTTTTGCTTTTTTTGCATCTACATATATTTATTTCAGCGTTTAGATACATTTGCGCTGATATTCATAGCATAGCAAGTAGTTAAACTATAAAGTTGTTATGCTAATTTGTAGCGCGCAGACATTGAACTCGCTGTTGTTGTTGTCGTTTTTT